TCCTTTCAAACTTTATCTGGAATGTCACCGTTTCTGTCACTGCAACTTCCCGATCAGGCCAACGAACACACACACACACACACACACACACACACACACACACACACACACACTCTCTCACTCACACACACACACACACTCACTCTCACTCACACACACACACACTCACTCTCACTCTCACTCACACACACACACACAGTGTCAGACTGTCACTCGATGCTCTCTGTCCTCCGTAGGTGTGTGAACAGCAGATGGGATCGGCCTAAAGCAGACGTCCTGCCGAATGAGTCCCGTGTGTCCCGTGGCTCCGTCTCATCTCCCACAGATGCGTCTGGAGCTCCGCAGGGCGGCGTGGAGATGGCAGCGGCGATGGCGGCCAAAATCAACGCCATGCTGATGGCCAAAGGCAAACTGAAACCACTGCAGCCGCTGCCCAGTAAAGTACTGACCGTCCCGCAGCCATGTGTCCCATGATGCCCTGATGTCGCTCCGTGAGCTCACGCGTGTTTGTGTGTTTGCAGGCGCCGCCAGCTCTTCCTGTCGCCGCTGAGGAGCTCATCGTGGCTGAAGTCGACATAAACGACGTGCACATGGAGTGCAGGGATCTCCTGACCAAAGGCAAAACTCAGGACAAGGTTTGTGACGACACACACGTGACACTGGCGTGTCTGTGTGCACACGCATGTTGACTCTCTGCTGTCTGTGCTGTAGATCGGGCAGCTGAGCGGTGCAGTGGTGTCCACTAAAGGCCTGTACATGAGTGACACCGACAGGAGCGGCAGCGCAGGCGTGTGAGTATCAGTCCGGTGACGTGTGTTCCCGCACGTGTGTCTGTGTGTGTTCCCGCACGTGTGTCTGTGTGTGTTCCCGCACGTGTGTCTGTGTGTGTTCCCGCACGTGTGTCTGTGTGTGTTCCCGCACGTGTGTCTGTGTGTGTTCCCGCACGTGTGTCTGTGTGTGTTCCCGCACGTGTGTCTGTGTGTGTTCCCGCTGTGTGTTCCCGCACGTGTGTGTGGGTGTGCCCGCACGTGTGTGTGTGTGTGTGTTCCCGCACGTGTGTGTGTTCTCGCACGTGTGTCTGTGTGTGTGTTCCCGCACGTGTGTCTGTGTGTGTGTGTGTGTGTGTGTGAGTGAGAGTGTGTTCCCACACGCGTGTGTCGTCTGCTCTCTAACGCTCTGTCTCTGTGTGTTCAGGGCGAGACCGCTGTATTTGCATGTGCAGGGCCGCCGTCAGGAGCAGGTCAACAGTAAGTGCTGGAGTTCAGTCTCCGCTGCAGTCTTGCGGAGACAGATTTGGTGCCCCTCGCATCGCAGTCAATTCCACCACCGATCATTCACACAGAAACTGCATAGCTTTGACTTAAAACAAATGACATAAAACTAATTACATATGAAATAAATAAGACAATAAACTGACATTAACTCAGCTAGCTATTTAAATTAGAGAACCAATTTTTGGATTTATCGTCCAAAGGCAGCTACAATACTAACATTTAAATCTTAATTTCTTCATTTCAGACATTCTTAAATTTATGGGTTGCACTGATCTTAACTTTTCATATCAGAATCCTATACTGATTTTTAATGTATTTTATTCAAGCAAAAGACAAGAAAGAATAGTAGTTAGTTGCTTTATTTGCCTATATTTTGATCTAAATTAGACTGTATAATTTCAAAACTTGAAGGAAAAACAGAATGGTCTGACTTTATCTTTGTGAAATTAGGCTACACAAAACATAGCAAACAGCAGATGGGCTGAATGAAAATGCAAATTCACTCTCTGCCAGCAGGTGGCGCTTAAGGAACAGCAGTGCTGCATTGTTAGCTTGATTACCGCTGTAAACACTAAATGCATTCCAGAGGCAAGATGAAAGGAAAATGCCATCGAAACTGTTTCTTAAGACAGTCAGTTCCCCTCAGAGATACATTCATACTTCACGCATTGTGAACCGTGAGCTTGCTCTGGCTGCTAATGTATTTTCTGCTCTTTGCGTCTCTGGCCTCTGAACGCTGCTTACAGTTTCTGAAATAAATCAAAAAACCGTCCGGTTCCGATTTATGGCCGATAGTCAATCGGTGCATCTCTGCTCAAATGTTAAACTGCTTTTATTTTGGTAGTTTGCCAGCAAATAAATAAATGCGCTGCATGTTTCAGAGTGTCATGGGCTGCACTCGAACACATTTCCGCTTCACTCTGAAAACTGCAGCACAAATCGCAACCTTCGCGATATGACTTTGGCATTAAGCCATAATGCGATATTGATTATATTTCGATATATAGTGCACTCCTAATTAAAATAATATTATTATAAACATTTTTTTTAAAAAGTAACTCATTTGGGTGACCCTAGCATTTGCCTATTTCTCCTATGCAACGGGCCGGCCCTGCGTAACATTAGTGCAGTTAGCACCCACTTTACAAACAATATTTATACATTAACTAATGCTCTGTGAAAAACAACAACTAGGTTTCACAGTTTTCCCTCAGTGGCCATCCATCACAGGGCTGAATAAGGACAGAAAACAAAAACAAAGACAATTAGTGCATCAAAAATTGCGTACTGTTTGTAGATACTACATTTGAATTTGTCCGTTGAGTAGTATGAATAAAATTCAGACATACTGTCATGTGACTGGCCAGAGTCAGTTACTATGAATTGCTATGAATTGGGAAATACTACTCGGCTCACACACTGTTTTTCACCTACTATTAGGCAGACTCCTGCTGATCACTGTAAATGCAACAAAACCTCAGTCCAAACATGCATTAAAATAGCCTTTCAAACCAATTTCAAATGTTTTATTGAAAGTATAATCTATTAAATGCAATTAATCTTCCCAAAGTTTTTATTCAGATAACTACAGGTGTACCTACAGATCATTTTCTCACTGAGCGGTAAACTTTGAGACTGAAACTTACAATAATACAACAGAATACAGGCACACACAGGCACACACACACACACACACACAGGCACACACACACACACAGGCACACACACACACACAGGCACACACAGACACACAGACACACTCACACACACACTAACACACACATGCCCCGCTGTAGTTTAGATCACATTCACCCTGCAGCGCGTCTGCTTTCAGATGGCGACACGCATGCCGCTCCGCCCGATCTTTACCCAGAAGCCCCAGCGCTAGGCGTCAGGCTGTCAGCTTTGATGACGTGTTTGGAGGCGGAGTGAATGACTGTGGCGTCTTGTTGGTTGCAGAGTTTTGTGCACACTAAGATATTTGTAGGCCTGGAGCAGTTGCAGCCGTCCTTTAACGTGAGAGAGTGTGTGGAGGGGCCGTCTGGCTCGTACCTGCAGCACATTCAGTCTGAGACCGGCGCTCGTGTGTTCCTCCGAGGCAGAGGCTCCGGATACATCGAGCAGGCGTCACGCCGCGAGTCCTTCGAGCCGCTCTATCTGTACATCAGGTAACGCTCCGCCGCTCCTCACGCTTCTGTGATCACACGTGTGTTTCTGACGGAGTGTGTGTCTTACAGCCATCCGAACGCCATCGGACTGGACGCGGCCAAGAAGCTGTGCGAGAATCTCCTGGACACGGTGAGTGTGTGTGTGTGTGTGAGAGTGTGCGTGTGTGTGAGAGAGTGTGTTCTGCATTGAGCGTTGTGTGTGTGTGATCAGTCTGTTGTTGTTGTTCAGGTGCGGGCGGATCACGCGAGGATCATGTCGTCGTATCCCTCCACTGCTTCTGCTCCAGGTGTGTTTTCTCTCCTGCTTTGACCTGATGCTCGTGTTCTGAACTGAATCACCATGTTTACACACACTTAAGGAAACGGTTGCAGAAGGACTTCATGTTTTAAAGATCACAGCGAGCAGCTTTTTGCTGTGCATGTAAACAACCGCAGCAGATGATGTCTGCAACATGATGTTTCTGAAACAGTTTAGCTCGACTGACACACAGCTATTGAGATTTATTTGGCTGTATAATATACTGACGCACATCAGATTTTCTCCCAGCTGTTTGTTCACATTAGACGTCTGTTATAACGCTAGTGGCTGAAGACACTCTGTTAAATGTTTTTGTTCTTGAAGTGTCTTTCGAGTGTGTGTGTGTGTGTGTGTGT